GTGAAGGCGTGAAGCAGATGTTGGAGCACTGAGGGCTGTTTGAGCAGGCACACGCATCCTCCTGTGTCCCCACATGGCCCGCTTACCCCTTCTGCTCCCTGCCATGTGGCAGGAGTTGGATTCGCCTCTCCTCACACACATCCACAGCAAGGTGTAGTCACTGCCATGCTAGTGCACCCAGCACCAGTCATGAAACCTCAGTGTAGCAGCGTGAGCAAATAGTTTCCTGCTGGACAAAAGTAATTACCTATTTACAGCTGAAAAGAATGAACAGGCCAAAACTTGAAGTGTCAAATGTTTTCTCTAAGTGTTCCAGACGCCTTTCTTCTTGAGGGGCTTGGCACTTCTTTAATATAAATTAAAAACTGCCTGGAACACCAAACAGAGGTTTCTAGTGAGTTTCTTACTACCTCCCACACATGTGCCCGGTTTACTTTAGTGAGAAGTGCCATTGAATATTTTCACTGAATGTTCTAACCTCAGTTCCAACAGAATGAAACCTGAAAAAATATTTACTCTAATTGTGAATAATTGGCACAGCTTTAGAAGGTCACTGTAAATGCAAATCAGAACTCTTTTATGAACCACATTTTATAAAACCTCATAAACGCCTCTCCAGCAAGACCTGAATGACCCGGTCACTTTAATTCAATTCAGTGTTTCAGCTTTGTTGCTTTTGTCCAGTCATAGCATGGAACTGTGAAATATTTCCTGTACAAATAAAAAGAAGAATTTCCAGTCCAAAATACTCAAACAGCTCTTAAATTATTTTATCCAGCATTGTAACCTGGATTCCAAATGAATGAATCCTGAAAAAATATTTACTCCAATTGTGCACAACTGACACACACTTTTTGGTTGCTCTCAGTATTTGAATGCAAATGTACATTTGAAAATATTTCCTCAACCACATTCTTCTGGTAAACCACATCAGCCCAAATTAATTTTGTAAATAAATATAAATCCATCAATACGGGTCAACAAAGATTCAAAACTATGTTTCCATTTATGGTAAAAAAAAAACAACCAAACTTGCAAGGACCTACAAAAAAGTATTTAATTTCTATAGAAGTACATGACTTCTAATTAGACCTAGTCAGGATATTTCTTGTAACATCCCTGAAATTGAACACCAGCCTCATTGGAAGTTGAAACAGGACTTCAAACTTGTTTCTTAGAGATGCAGTAAATTCAAGGAGTTCCCAGCAATCTATTAGTATCAGACTCCTGTTGTTCCTACCAAAAGGCTTGTGGGTAAACCAATATGGCAATGATCATAAAGGAAAGCACCTGGAAGGGAGGACACACTCCTTTTCTCTAGATAAGAATACTAAGATCAAACCCCAAAAGTACCTTAAGTATGTCAGACCATCTGTAGTACAGATACAAGGTTAATGGATGCATCAAAGTGATCAAGCAATGCCCCAAACAGACCAACACCCTACGTGTTACAATTCCTTCGCGTTTCATCATGATGAAAACTTCAGTTTGGACATAGTCAGAGCACATCAGTATTTATCTTCTGAGCAAGGTAATCAGAAAGGTTATCATTTGCTCACAAAAAGCTGTGGATAAACTGAATAAATACTTGCAAGGTCTAACTAGCCAGTGTAGCTCATTCAGCAGTCAGAGCAAGGGAACAACAGTGCAGCCATGCACAACCACAAGTTGATTGACTCCATCTTCTTGGCAGCTTTTCTCCCCACTTCTCTTATTTTATTATGCAGTAATTCAGTACAAGCACTCACTATAATCAGACATACTAATTCTTCGTAAATAGTATTTTGAGTTTTAGGACCACTTGTTTATCATTTTCAACTGAAACAGATCTCTAATATAGTCTTAGTGTCAGATTATGATTTCATTAAAGTTCCTAAACAAGGAAATATGTGGTCTATTGTACAAATAAACATGCCGTGTGGTTCCATTTCTCTTCTGCTGGGACAAAAATCAGAAGAATAATTATGTTATCCTTTGTTAGTGTTGGAAGAATTTTCATCGCATCTCTGCACCACCTAATTCTATGCTAAACCACAAGATATTCTCTGAATAAACAGTCACAAAGGTCACATTCTCTTTTGGTCTGGCATTTATATATGAGATAAAAGGACAGAGTCAGACTTTGTATAAGATTTGTAGGTACAGGGGTTGTGTGAATTTATTGGCAAGAAGATTTTAAGCTGTAAGACTTAATGAAATATGTGTTGGAACACGTTTCTCCTGACTCTAGAAATGTGAATGCTTACAAATACCATCAACAAGTATTCATATTCTTTAAAATGTCTGTGTCACAGTAATAAAAAATTCTGCAGAAGAGTGGTTGGCAGTCTAAATGATGTGTACAATACCTAAGTGTTGAGTTAAACATTTAAAGAGACAAAGTAATCTCTTCAATTACCATGCTTTTGACTGCATGTTATTTTTATAATTCTACAGAAGTCTGTATCTCAAAGATACAAAACCTTTGTGAACCTGGATCTCTTAGTCAGCTGAGTGAAACAGCTATTTTTATTGTTTTGAAATGAATCTCCTAAATTCCTCCTTTCCAAAGCTGCTAAAAGACATGCTTAAGCTATGTGAAGAAAAACTGTCATAGATCTTTGCCTAATATTTCAATGTAATCTGCTGGATCATTTTAAGCAAGCACAAAACAAGGATCATAACTGACACATATGAATACATGAACCCAAAAAAATGGAATCTTTCAACATCTAATAGTTAAACCAAACTGAAAAAATAAGCTATTGCATATGAGTGATGTAATGGAGGATGACGAATGGTGGTTAAACAAACAATAACTCAGTATATAATATTATATCACATTTAAACAGGAAGAGCTAGTGTGCCCCTGAAGCTAATTTAAATTTTAAATAAATTTTTAAAAAATGACCAGCGCAATAAATTACCTGTAATATTCAAAACCCATGAATGATACCTGACAAACCATTTGATTATCAACTTCCATCAGAATTTTAATGAACTTTCAGTAAGACACAATCACAGAATCACAGAATCCTAGGGGTTGGAAGGGACCTCGAAAGATCATCTAGTCCAACCCCCCTGCCAGAGCAGGGTCACCTAGAGCACATCACACAGGAACGTGTCCAGATGGGTTTTGAATGTCTCCAGTGAAGGAGACTCCACAACCTCTCTGGGCAGCCTGTTCCAGTGTCACTCTCACAGTAAAGAAGTTTTTTCTGATGCTTACGTGGAACCTCCTATGTTCCAGTTTGCACCCGCTGCCCCTAGTCCTGTCACTAGACATCACTGAAAAAAGCTTTAAATACATTTTGCTGTTTTCAGCATTTCTGCTCCTGTAAAAATAAAATCCTACCAAAACTTTCAACATTTTGTTTGCTCCATTGGTAGAGAAGCCATTAAGTCTAGCAAAGACCTCGGGAAATGAGCTGAATTGATATATCTGAAATTGCCCTACTAAGGCCTTTTCTGAAACTTCTGACACAGGAAGAACAAATTTAATGGGGTTTTGAAGTAGAAAATAAGCCAAAGAACATACAGCAACTCTGAAGTATGCTTCTCAGAACTCACCTCACCAAGGCAGCATATAAATTCTGCACTAATCACAACTTCCTACAGGCTAACTAGCCTCAAGTCAAGGTTATGGCACTAAAGCAGCTGTAGGTGAAAATGCTCCACCAAGAGAATGTTCAGTCCAACTTCTGCTGGAGGAATGTTTATAATAACAAACACCCCATCACAACAGAAATATTTGTCAGGAAGCTCTTTAAAACAGCTGGTTATATTAAATACAATAGGAACAGTAAAGAAAGCATGAGAAAGACTTCATTCTTCCTGGACTTCACACTTATAATCAATGCTGTAAGTAAATGGCTTTAATTGTATGTCATTCTTTAGCATACCAACCTTCAACAGATTCCAACAGCAAAAGTGAGAACAGATCAGCTACAAAAGAAAATTTGTGTTCTTCATGAAGGTCAGCCAAGTTAGACTGAGACAGGATACAAGTTCACTAGTTTGGCAGGGAGGCATAAGTCAAGAATAACAGTTATGTAAGAGCTGACTTTATATTTTACTTTGTCTGATATATTTGAATTGAGTAAATGGACTGGAAAGGACCTCCTGTTTTATCATCCCACCTGTGACAGCAATTGTTAAAAGATGTTTAGGGAAAGGATAAATAAACAATGCATATGTTTTTCAAACTCCTGAGGGAACCAATAGGCCTTAACAGCTCTGAGCAGTCTCACCTGGCATGCACAGCTTTACCATAGGCCAACAGGCCTAGCATCTGCATTTAAGCTCTCACTTGGGCTTAATCTTTGCCTGAGCTGTGTTGCAGGAGTACCTGTCTCTGGTTCTCTTGCCTGTTGCTCCTGATGGGACCCTTGAATGGGTCCTGGACCCTGTTCATTGCTTGCTTTGTCTGGGATTGTTGATGGACATGGCTACTCAGTTGGATGCTGTGGGTCTGCACCCCATCAGAAAGGGAACAGCTGCCTGTGCAGTGGTCACGCTTGGCAGTTGGCTCCTTCTCCTATACGGAGTATTCCTACACTTGCTGCTGTTCCATGCCAGTGTTCTAGCACTGCCTCCACTACCTTTCAGCATTTCTCCTTCGTAGGCTGCCTACACTAGAGAACTCGATCCACATCACAGTGGACATGTCATTAAGAATGTTTTCTTCACCTTTCTTGACCCTGTTTTTTTTTAAGGCAGCTATATACAAAACACCTTGGAAGTATTGAGAAGGTATACATCTCTTAAAGTGATAAAAGAAGAACTATCTGCTAAACATACATACAAAGGTCATTTCTACAACCAAACTTCTAGCAGGTATTACTTGTTACATTGATATGCTTTGCAATGTGGCAAAGCTCGTAACAAAAAAACGTCTGATAAAAAATTGATGAAATATGAAGGAAAATATGTGGATATTTATAGCCTTAAATACATATGGTAGGTAGACAAATGTGTTTAATGACATGAATACACATTTTCAGAGACAGCATCTTTATTGTTCAAGCAATCTCGATCTCTCCAAATACGCACTCAATGCTTTTCAGTGCATGTTCTTGAGTAGATGACCCATGAACAGCATTAGACAAAATATCGTGTGCAAACTGAGCTCGAATTGATTCAGGACAAGTCTGTTTTGCCTCTTCTGGATTAGTTGGACCCATTAGTTGCCTCCACTCTTCTACAGCATTTTCCTTCGTTAAGACCATTATCACTGATGGGCCCCTGTAAAATCAATATCAGGAAACTCTTACATGATTCTGAGATGCAGTTAGCTTGGATTTTGGAGGTACCCTGAAGGATTATGGGAAGAATTACACCATCTGAATTTTGTCAAACTGTTTGGATTCCAAAATCTGCTTCAGTGTGTTTTGCTTAATACAATATCCTGTATTTGAAAGCAAAACAGATTATGATGATCAGCTATTTAGATTTGGACTTTTTATCCTAAAAAGATTCTTACCCAATAATTTCTGAAGCAAGACAATACATACTGTTTTATCAACAGCTGAACTAACAATACAATGAGAAAGATATTTGTCCTACTTATGAAGAACAAAGATTCCATGAGAAATTAAATGCAAAATAATAGTCAGTATCCACAAATTTGGAAACAATTTTTAAACTCTCTTTTAAAGGAAGATCAGTTTATGCTAGAAGCCACTAAACTTGCTAGAAAGAGTGGCAGAATTAAAATTCTTAGTCCATTTTGGGTGCAGCATGTTTTGTTGGCACTGTAAATTCAAAGTTTGATGTATGTTAGCATACCTCAGAATTGTATCATGAGATACTTACTCAGTCATAAAAGACACTAAGTCATCAAAAAAGGGTTTTCCTTTGTGTTGGTCATAAAACTGTGTAGCCATTTCATGAGTTAAAGCTTGTTCTTTAATCTTTGAGATGGTAAATCCAGCATCTTTCACTCTTTGCATAATGTCATCTAGGAGAAGAGCAAGCAAACTCATTTTGATTTAAATAGTTCACATGCAAAGAAAAACCAATTCAAACTTTAAAGCGTAAGAACACACAAACTTTAAAAGTTTCAGAAATATGAGATAATTAATAAAATAAAATAATTACCAGCAGTTATTAAAATTCTACTTACAATATCAAGCAATCATGGACAATATGACAAACACTTCAACAGCCCTCTAAAGAATACACAAACTGTAGTAATTGCAATAGTCCATCTCTATGTGGGTGACAAACTCAGACTGTTATAAACTATACTAGTAGCATTCCCTGCTGTTTTTCACACTGGACAGAAGATGAACTGTATTTGTGATGCTACATCACACACCAGCTGGCCTGCTAAAATCAATCTGGATTGTTACAAGATGGGAAGAAAGACTCATAAAATCAATGATGAATTAATATTAGAAAGACTACTGAGATTTGTGAAGACATAAAAGAAGAATGCCAAGAAGAGGATAAGGATGAAGGGTTTAAAGAAAACTGGCAGCAAAAATCTTTAAAGTAAGATTCCAAATTGTACATAGTGTACTTTTTATTTTGACCTTTCCTCCTTATTCCCCTTGTATAGTAGCAAGTTAAACCAAGGATGGGAATGCATCTAATTGAGCAGTGACCTCTTTTGAGTCAGTAGAGATACCGGTCTGAACTAAGGAACATGAATTTGGAAAGTCTCCTCCTTTGACTTAGAAGGATGCTGGATGACTAGTTTGCACAAGTGCCTGGCTTTTAAACAGCTTAGCTAATAGCTATCTCACTTCATTTCACTACTATTCTTGTGAAAGAAGAGCTATAGGCATCTTAAGCAAGGAAATGGGACATCTGAGACCTCATTATGACTTATGCCAGCCCTGTAAAAACATGTCTCTGCATGGGGAAAGTATTTCAGAGAATAAAAAGAAGGCATCTGACATGATTTACTGCATTGTATGTTGCTAATAATTTTGTAGAAATTGCATTTGTAGACATAGCCTGTACTTTCTAGATTACTTACCTTTATGGGTCTTAGCAGCATCAGGTTTGATTACTGCCAGTGTGTGCTCCTGAGGGAAGAAGAAGTCTAATTCCTTCTGAGCATCATCGAGTGTAGAACTACCATGCAGCTGATTAATAGGTACGTCGTTGAATGCATACATTGCACGTAAACTAAGAGTCATTAAAAAAGTAAGTTACTTAGAGGAATAGACATTTTGAGGTTCTGTTATGACTAGTCTTAATCACAGAATCACAGAATGGTAGGGGTTGGAAGGGATTTCTGGGCATCATCTAGTCCAACCCCATCTGTTAAAAAAGAGTGACCTAGAGCAGGTGGTACAGGATTGCATCTAGGTGGGTCTCTCCTCCCAAGAAGGAGATTCCACAACCTCCCTGGGCAGCCTGTCCCAGTGCTTTGTCATCCTCACAATGAAGAATTATATCCTCATGTTTAACTGGAACTTCCTGTGTTCCAGTTTGTGCCCATTGACTCTTGTCCTCTCACTGGGCACCCTGAGAAGAGTCTGGCCCCATCCTCCTGACACCTGCCTTGTAGATATTTGTATGCATCAATAAGATACGCTCTCAGTCTCCTCTTCTCTTAACCTTTCCTCATAAGAGACATGCTCTAGTCCCCTAATAATCATTGTAGCCCTCTGCTTGACTCTCTCCAGTGGTTACTTGTCTTTCTTCTACTGGAGAGCCCAGAACTGGGAACAGTATTCCAGATGTGGCCTCAGTAGTAGAGGGAGAGGATCACGTTTATTTCCTATAATGTGCAGTTCCAACACCTTTCCAAGCATGGAAGTGGTGCTGACTGGCCTATAGTTTCCTGGGCCTTCCTTCTTGCCCTTTTTGAATACTGGAGTGACTTTGGCTTTCCTCCAGTTCTTAGACATCTCTCCTGTTCTCCATGACCTTTCAGAGATGATGGAGAGTGGCTTAGCAATAACACCTGCCAGTTCCCTCAACCCTTGTGGGTGCATCCCATCGGGGTCCATAGATTTGTGGGTCTCTAGTTTACCTAAGTTATCTCTAACCCAATCCTTCTCAAGGAAGAAGTCGTCTTAACTTCGTAAGTATAAATTAATGTTGATCTGGTACCATAGCCAACTGGGTCCTGGGCTGCATAAAAAGAAAGGTGGCCAGCAGGTCAAGGGAGGTGATTGTCTACTCTGCTCTAATGAGACCCCTCCCAGAGTACTGTGTCCAGCTCTGGAGCCCCCAGCATAAGGACACAAAGCTCCCAGAGAGAGTCCAGAGGTGGGCCACAAGGACGATCCGAGATCTCGAGGACCTCTCCTATGAAGACACTTGGAGAGACCTGGGCTTGTTCAGCCTGGAGAAGACAAGGCTCCCAGAAGACCTCATAGCAGCCTTCCAGTACCTGAAGGGGGCCTACAGGAAAGCTAGGGATAGACTTTGGACAAGCAGCATGTAGTGACAGGACAAGGGGAAATGGCTTTAAATTGGAAGAGAGGAGATTTAGGTTAGACATTAGGAGGAAATTCTTCACTATGAGGGTAGTGAGACACTCAAACAGGTTGCCCAGAGAAGATGTGGAAGCCTCATCCCTGGAAGTATTCAAGGCCAGGTTGGATGGGGCCCAGAACAACCTGATCTAGTGGAAGGTGTTCCTGCCCATGCAGGGGACTTGGATCTAGATGATGTTTAAAGTCCCTTCCAGCCCTGACCCTTCTATGGTTCTATGATTCTGTGATCTCTCTGTAGGAGTAAGAAGCCTTCATTGTCCACAGAAAAAGCAATCAACTTTTAAATTAACCACCTGAAATATTAACACCTTAATTCCTAATTGTCATCTTGTTCTGTTTCCAAGATAAAACAGTTCTTGATAAATGAAACAAAACAGATAAGGTGGTATACCACAGCAGTTGCTTAGAACAATAAAATAAGCAGGTAAACCACATATGTTAACTTATAAAATGTGTAGAAGAAGCTTGGTCACAAATAAAATAAGTTACTGATGGAAAGTTTTCATTAAAATAAGAAAATCAACATCTGTTTAAAAAAATGATATTTCAAGAAAAAATAAATAAGAATGAGGTATTACCAATATTTTTTGCATGTAGAAAATCAATAGTAATACTTCTGTAGACCACAAAGCCTAAAACTTGCCATCCAAGGTCACAAAGATTCACAACTTCATAGCCAAGTAACCTGTTCATATCACCATCAGAGCAGTATTATAAAAACACTATTACAGGTGAATTCTTCTATGTGCTTTGAGCAGTGAGGAATTTTCCCTGATTAAAGAGATCTCGTTTTGCTTCAATATTCCTTTTTAAATTCAACTTTTCATTATGTTTAGTAGCCACCATTGCTCAAAAAAAAAATAAACAAAAAAATAATGCTACAGTCACAATGTGTAATACATTTCTTCCAAGAACAACTTAAACTGCAGAAATATATATAAATTTCCAGACGATGGCACTGTGGTTGCATCAGTTGGAATGTGTTGGTCACTAAGACAAGGGATACAGAAGTAAAGTGGAAGCTGTAAATGATATTTTGCTATTGTAAGTGTTACCTCTCTGGATTTTCCTTCTTAGCTGTTTCAACAACCTTAGGGCCTAATAAACTCCTCCAGTGTTCTACAGCATTTTCTCGTGTTAGAGCAAGAATAAGAGTTGGGCCACTGTAAAAAGGGAAAACTGGCGTTAAACACATTGAATATTAAACTCTCTGTAATTTGTAAAAGGTCTTAGATTATACACAGTCCATGCCAGAAAAATGTGCTCTAGTATTGGAGGATTTAAAAACCCTTCTCCATTTAAACAGCTACGGTCTGATATAACTTCATGGGTCTTAAATGCAAACTTAAATTTCAAAGTTACTGTATGTTAACATGACAGCAAGAATGTTATAGAATTGGGCTATGTCTGTGCTATTAGACGTAAAAATGCTAATCAGCTCCTAAGTTTTTGTATTTGTCCCAGCTGTGTCCCAGCTTCATATGAAATCAATATCCAAACATGATTTATATTTCCTCCCTTACAGCACACAGCCTGGATGAAGATTTCACAGCTTTCCTACAGATGACTTAAACACTGCCTTCCAGAGTGGAGCTCAACTGCTTTTACCCAAATCAATGGAACTGGCCACTGCCTTCTACATCATTCATACAGAGATATGGGGCTGTTAGTAATTTTTAAAAAAGCAGATTTATTTATCCCCTATACTTGGGAATTATCTCACTATCTGCAGTTGCCTAGTCCTGGTTCTTGAGTTGTATTAAACTCTCAGATACATGGATATCTTGCAGCCATGTATTATTCAGGATAATTATTCATTGTGAAAATTTCAGTCCTATTTACAGATCCACACTCATTTTTCATTCAATGCACCTGGTCATTTGCTCCAGAAGAACTGGGAAGTAGTCTTCATTTTCATGCTCTTTGTAAAATTCACGTGCTTGTGCTTCAGTTAGGATTATTTCTTTCTGCATTGCAATTTGGAAGCCATCATCCTTTATTCTTTGAATAATAGAATCTGTTTAAAGTAGTGAAATAATGTTAACTTGCCATCCACTCATTTATTTGCACACTTGCAAAGAAATTACATGAACTTTCCAATCACAATTGTACATTTTTCAGGAGAATTCATTTTTTAACTGAAGAACAGAGAACTAATGTAAAGCGACTGTTAGAGGGCTTCACAAGTTGCCTGGACATTCAGAAAGCTGAGGTTCACCTTCTTAAGGCTTTCTCTCACTTCAGAAAACTCAGAATTCCTGCACTGAGAAATAGATGTGTTGCTATCGCCAAAATAAGGTCTAAGGATTTTGAATACATGAATATTCATTTGACTAAGTCTTGCAAGACCACATGCATAAGCAAACAGTGTTTGGTACAAGTCAAAATGACTTTATACTTGCCAATATATGGACTGCCAAACTGCTGCTCTAAGCAACATACTAGATAACAATCAACAAAATAAATACACCAGTAGAGGTAAAAACTGTAGTATTTCAGACCTCTGTATGTAAGTTATTTCCAGTACAGAGATTCTTAAGTTCCAAATAAATGTGCTATCTAGAATATATTAAAAAAATAATTAAAAAAAGGAAAATGTGCCCAAGAAGAAAAGTAAACTTGTTTGGATGGAGTTTCCTGCTAATGAGGTAGATTTTCTGATGTACTCTGTAAAAACATTGCCAGTGTAGACCTTTGTGCATACAGCATAGAACATATGAGTCAGATCTTTTTCACATTCCCATTGATCTAACTTTGACCTGCTATTGAAGGATATCAGGTGCTTTATTACAACAGGAAGTATGATCCCCTACACTATGCTTTGAAATTGCTAGCTTCTCTGAGAGGTCTGCAAAAGTCCATCCAAATATACAATCTAAAGACATTCTTAAAAAATCAGGCAAAGGAACAAAATAGTGTCGACTTTTATGTTCTTTATATATAAAAAATATTAACCATGTAACTTTTTTCCTGACAAAAATTGCTACCATCTTAACACTGGGGAGACATTATAACATAATAACATTTCATTCGTAGAGTTAGAATTTGAAAAATTCAAAATAGGAGACCTTTTATATACCTTAGCTGGAAAATGTAGCTGTTAACACTTACCTCGTCTTTCCTTTAAAAGGGTGGGTCTAATTAAGGCCAAAGTCTTTTCAACTTTTTGGTCTGTCTTCTTTTTATCAAAATTTGGGAAAAAGAAGGCAAGTTGCCTGCTGGCATCTTCTAAACTGTCTTGGATATCACATAAATTTAATATACTCTCCTCAGTTTCTTCTGAACTAACAGGACACAAAGTAATACAATATTTAAGTCACTGCATGCACTGCGTTAACAGTTGACTTTATGAAATAGTACTTTCTTAAAGCTTTGTGAAGCATAAGAATAGAATGTTAAACTAAGTTTTTATTAAATTCAGATTCATGGCTCATTAATATTTCTGAGAAGAGAATTATCAATCCTCTCAAAAAGTGCCTTGTCATGTGCTATGAAAGAAAATCTCAGCCATACAGCTTTTCTAATTCATCTCTGGCTTATTGAAAATAGTCTTTCTGTTTTATTAGACAAAATTACTACTGACAAGTCTACAGTGTATAATGAATGATCAATAAAATAATGGTTCTTAATTCATGTACAGCATGATCACGAAAATTATAGCACCACAGATTGGTCTTTAACAGTGATACTTCTCATTGCCACAGGTCTCTATATCTAAGGTTTGTTTAGCTTTGTAAACACAGTCACTCTTGGTTACCTACAGAAAGTGCCATATGTCCCAGATGTGCTAAATTAATGCAGAAAGGGATACAGCAGACATCAGTGCAAATATAAGTTATTATAATTTGGGGTTTTTTTGAACTAAGTATTTAAATTCATGTCGCTGTATGAAAGTCCCTCTCTAAATATAAAAATGGATCCAATGTTTTAATATTTTTGAGCACTTTTTTTGGTTGTTGTTGTAATGCAGTGTATACTACTATCATCTCTTTTAAAATTCTCTACTGAAGACTTGGAAGAGGAGGGAAACAGACATTTCAAATACCACAGTTGTGAACAGCAAATACTTATAACGTTTTAATGTCTCTTGGGGAAAAAGCCCCAAAACCCTCCCACTTGTTCTCTGGCTTTCACAGAGTGGTACCAGGAAGAACACCATGCTTCAGGTGTCCCTTAGTCTCCTTTGAGCCACACCTACATCTTCCCAACATACTTAGGAATGTGCACAGGCAAGACTGCAACCCTCAGTGGGCAATGCTGGCAGGCACCTTGTCTGGGTGAACTTGTATGAGGTGAAATTGCCTGGGGTACAGGAACTTTGAAGTGTAGCACCATTCCCATTGGTCTGATTGGTTAGATCAGAAACAAGAGGTTGGTGCTCTTTGCTTGTCATATTCACCTAGAAAGAATAGAGTTTCTATGCTCCCACTGGAACTACAATTCCATCTCTAATGGAGGTCCATTAAGGACCAGGTGAAGAACTCTGCCTGCTCCCTGGATCCTGTGCACACCAAATACTGTAACTGAATCACATATGCACATTTTCAATGGTATTTACCTGTCTGGCTTGTCAGCCTCAGCGTCATGATCCTCACTCAATTTACGTAGTTCTTTCCAGTGAGGAATAGCATCGGATGTTTCTTTTACAGCAATTACCAAAACATGGCATGGTCCACTCAACATGGCTTGAACAAAATCCTCAAAATCAGGCTAAAAAACAATTTTCCATCTATGAATTGCAGGAACTCTGACTTAATAATCAGAAATGAGACCATCCTTTCCTAAGTAAGTTGTAACTCATGTTCTAAAATGATATTCACTTACTTTACTGAAAACCCTATCAAAATGTTTGCTAAGTTTTTTGGTCGATCATTTGGGACTGCAACATTGTAAAATGTCTAAAACACAATTAGATAAAGGAAGTAATACAGCTACATTAAGCAAGTACCACATTTTCTTCCAGGTTAAAATGCAATTACAAGAGTGAAAAAATATTCTAGCAACTCGATGTGATAAAATGTGGTGCTTGCAGTAGCATATATAGTGTGACATAACAAACTGCAATACAGTTCCAAGCATAATTTTTGAAACTAAAAGTTGTGTAGCTGGCTGTAAATATAGAATACTGAGACAGTTGCAAGACATTTGTAGGGTTTTCCTTCATTCTCTTTGCTATGTTAGTTTAACTCCTTAAGTTTCGGCCTATAAATGCACATTTTAATCAGAAACTAACTTCTGAAGCTGTTGTGTGTTTTTAATCTCTTTTTCCTTGTATGTCACCTGTTTCTTCAATATTTTGAATTTCTTCAAATATCTTCTCTCCTTTTAAATATTTGGCTAAATCCTTTCTTTACCAGTCACTCTCATCTGATTGTGTATGATACATTTTTCCTCAAATAATAAGAGGATGGAATATTCACATGTATGCTTTCATTTAATTGCTTTTCTCTTTCAAGTATCCCCATAAGTATGAGTAAACCTAACCCATTTCACCAGACAAGCAAACTCAAAAGAGGTAAAATAAGTGCAAATACAAAAGCAATGCAATGCATGAAGGGAGTATCTATGATGTTGTGACTTCAAAAGTACACTTACTCACATTAAAAGGAATAGATGTAGCTATTCACTTTGGCTCTCCTGGCTCACCCAGTTTCATAATTAAAAAGAAACAATTTCTGTGCCCAGTTAATCTCTGAAAGTCTATTCCTTGAGTCTCCATCCTGTTACAATAGGCAGCTCCTGGACCTTCAGCAAGCTTGCACAGCATTAAATCAGGAATTGTTTTGCTCACTGGGCACTAAGAAATCTATATCCTATATTGTCACTTGAACGTAATTACTTTCTGCTCAGAATTACAAGTAAAGAGTGGCAAATAATTGGCTTTTCAACATGCATAGGGCTCTCTGGACTGCTTCTGGGAGCTCATAGTAGTTTTGTTATTCTCTCTGTCCTATTGTTAGCTGTGGTGTCGTAGTGCTGCCATGTATCAAACACTGCAGGCTTTTCCCCTGTCTTTGTTCCTCCCATGTCTCCCTCTATGTTGGCTTTCTGTCTGAAAGAGCATGTGCCAAACAGATACATACTGTTACATAGATGGCACTGGATTTTGGTTTTGTGCTAGGTTTCAGCACTTAACTTATCCTATGCTTAGGGCTATAACCAAGGGTCATATACACACCAATAACAGAAAGAACGACAAGGTATTTTGGCATTTAATTTGAATTCAGTTTGATTTAGTTGGAATAGTAGGACACCATATTTGTATGAGTTGACAAGAAAAAAAAAGAAATAATATCTCCTCTTTCATGTACTAAATCTGCATTGCTTCATTTCTTCAACGGATTAAAAATTTACAAGCTGGAGATTTGCAAACGCATATAGCTACAAATGTAAGTTTTACCTGTTCCTGTTGTTTAGGTTTTCAGTCTGTTTTTACCTGGTCTTTTTTTCGGGCATAGAACACTCTGATTTGCTCCTCAGTTAGCATTTTCTCCTCCTCTGCTTCAATGCCAAATCCTGCATTTTTAATCTGCAATTATTCAGTTATTACTTAGTGGCATGCGAAAATAGACATACAAACAAGAATTCTATTTCAGAATTAAAGATAGATTGATTTGGGGAGCTAAATTAAGTTTAGAATTCTTTGAAAAATTCTAAATGTAACTTATACCTTTGCCTAAACTAATATTCTGTAACTTATACCTTTGTCTAAACTAATATTCTGGCTTTTCAAAGCACTTCACTAAATTCAGGATTACCAGGACACTCCTATAATGTTGTTATACACTGTATTAAAATCATAGCAGTCATACAAATGTGTCAACTTGTCAACAAATGTCGTATTAGGCTAAACTAATTGGCTTTAGAAACAGAACAAACAGAAATAGAATATCTTCTACAATTTCCGATTTTAAGTTATGTTAGTGCACTAAATTGAAGTATGTGTAAAAGATGCACACTTACATGACCTATATCAAAATCCATGGCTCACTGGTATGAGGTTTATACCATATACTGATTTTAAACAACAAAGGCACTACCCAGCCCCAATACTGATCATAAGCCAATATTAATCTGTTTACCAGCACTCTGCTCTTTAAAAGCCCCTATGATGCTGCTGAGTATTTCCAGACTGCCTTGACAATGCTGAGTGTAGAAACAGCATGGGTATGCACCTCATAAAGCAGTACAAAGGCAGAGCCCACTAGCAGCTACTCAGCTCCAGGTAATTTGCTTTCAAGCACTGCCTGCTTTTTTTTTTTTTTAAATTTTATTTTTATTTATTGAACCCTCTCACCTTCTCTCCAAGGCTGAGAAATTGCAGAAACACCCTGTACAACACTCTAATTTTCTTTCCTGCCAAGGTCACTGACCCCATCACAATACTTTCAACAAACAGCATTATTTCATCTTAGTACATGGTGTTATGAGACCTTTTTTTTGTAACATAAACAGTGAGAAATTCCAGTAACTGAAATGACCATTCCTATAGTATCATATTCCGGAAGCCACAATAATTTTTCTTTCACTGTGTGATGACTTCAACAAATACTGAATCTTTGGATGCTGCCTTGCATACTTGCTGGAATCATATTCTTCATTGCAGGAACAAATATTTCACTACTGAAAAATATTAGTGTCCAATCTCTGATTACTAGTACACATGAGTTAACCTCAGCATCCACACACATATATTGTCACGTGTTTGCGCACACACACTCTTCAAAGGGAGCTGGTTAGTTGCCTTATGTGTGCCTACAATTCTTAAAGATGCTGTGTGAAGAACTTACTTTGCCACCACAATTTCTAGTTCTTGTTTCTGTTATAACATGAGGAAAAAAAAAGACATTTTCTGATTGCAGATTTCAGATGTTGCTTAACAACACAGTATGAATCAATGTCATACCTCACCTAATGACATAAGATGTTAAAGTACGATATTATTTCAGGTCAAAATTATCTTGCTTTAGTCATTCTTATCAGAGAAGCATTAACAGATCTTGTTCTAAAGCCTTGGCATAAATTATGTTCTCCTTAATCTTATATCTTACTACTATGCCTCTTAGCTAAATTGGATGAATGAATTTTCAGATTTGTTCTACCTTTTTTTTAACTTCTTCTACTCGTCCCTCTAAGACAGCATCAGGCTTTATAATTGCAATGGAATATTGGACTATTTCTTCTGGGAAAGGGAAAAAGCAACATGTCAACAAATACATTTATAAAAAAACCCACACAACCAAATTTTCTGTCACTCAAAATTAGGTTTCTGTAAATACTTCTCCATTTTAATATTGAGATGGCCAAACAGTTGTTGCAAAAAATAAGTAACTCCAGCACTTAAAGCATGTTTTCGAGCTGCCTTTGGCCATCCCTGGGATCCACATTCTTGTTGTACCACTGGTGTTTTGGGTCACATGATGCAGAAATGGCTCACATAGAGATATATAGGGTGGAAAAACTACCATTTAGAAATGGATACTTTGTCTAGGAAGTTCTGTATATACAAGATAAAAATGTGAAAAGAATTACCAGAGAAAAATTACTAAGTGAAAATCCATGTGAATATTGGAGATTTCCAGTAAACTATACATTTCTTGTCATAGTTAATGCTTGTTTCCATAGCACTGGGGATGCTGAAGTAATTTACAATATCTGTTGATGTAACACATGCTTGCTAACACAATCTAATATCTAAAACAAGAAGTGTTCCTGATTGTAAATACACTTACAAAATCCAGAGCATACAGATCCCTGCAAAATGACAGGGAGTGGTCAGGAGAAAATAGAAACTACACCTTTCTTTGCAGAATCTGAGGTTTATGGTTAAGCATTAGGACATAACTCGCTCAGATCCTAAACACTGTGAAAGAACTTAATGGTAGCTCTAATGGAAACACCAGGATACTAATTGTTTCCAATACTAGAAAGCACTCAGAGACACCTGCATGTGGTAAGAAAAATATTACCACCAAGTGTTAGTATATTATAGCTTCTGAGGGATCCCCTAATCTGGACCTGAGTCCAAGCTGAAATTTTGACACACATTCAGGTTCTGTGGATGAGCATGAAGTCTATATATAATTGCTAAAGGATTTATAATACTGTACTACTAGGTCTCAGACTGCTTATGATTTTTTAAAAAAGTAATCTAAAGCTGAGGTCAGGAATGTCACTTGAACCACACAATAAAGATGACATGAAGAGGAAGAAGGGACATGATGTAATCCATGACAGCGATGTAATGTCTCCTCACAGGGAAAAAAAAGGCAAGATCAAGAAGAGGAGGATGGAAGAGTTTATTCCATCTGAACCTTGCAAAATGGCATTCTGTGTATTGAAGCTGTAGGAAGCTTCAACAGTCGCAGGTGACAGAAAGAATAGAAAAGATGTAGGTCTCAGCTCATGATAAAGCTGAAATAAATCATAGACACTAGACTCACAAGCATGATGGCGCACGTTTTTCAATCTTTCTAGATTCTTATCCTACTGTGGTGGATTTATAGTCTTACAGAATCATAAAATTATTTGGGTTGGAAGGGGCTTTCAAAGGTTATCTAGTCCAACCCCCCCGCTCTGAGCAGGGATATCTTGAACTAGATCAGGTTGCTCAAATCCCCATTCAAACTGACCTTGAATGATTTCCAGGTACTTCTAACCAGCTCTTTAGGAAACCTGTTCCAGTGGTTCACCAGTCTCATTGTAAAAAATTTCTTCCTAATATCTAGTCTAAATCTGCCTTCTTTCAATTTAAAACTGTGACCCCATAAGTAAGTCTGTTCTTTAGTGCTTAATTCTAGTCTGGTGAAAGACTTAATTAAAAATAAGCTGAGATATAAGGCATGCCATTCCTTCAGAGATTATCTCTACCAGTCTTCATAGATTGCTTCTATCTTGGAGTTGCTGCAGAACAACCAAGGGTTAGCAAGAACATCTCAACAAAAGTATATAGCCAACACAGGGACTGTGTAGAAGTGACTTTCAAGCATTAATTTCACACAGGAAAATTCCTGGCACGTAGCACTGCTGCTATTTGCCAGGGACCTGAATTCTGAAGGTTCCCAAAGGATCACCATTGAAAACACTGGTGATGATAATCTATTATCTAAATTCCTTACAGAAGAAAGCTTCCCCTTATTTTGATATAATAAATCATAACCTCTCATGTTATTAACTCGATCAACGGAAGCTCTATTGGTGCTGGATATACACAATTCTTAATCAAATAACTAAAAATATATTTGTTCCTTTTTTATCTGTTAAGATTTCTAAAATAAATAAAACATATTTACCTTTGGGTTCGGGTTCTTCCTCCTCAGTAGATTCTTCTGATGAAATTCTTTCTAGGAAAACAAGTTCCTCTACCTAAGGTAATTGCAAATACAGTAAAAGTACAACACCAGTAAGAAGTTAAGATCAACAAGCACAGGTGTCAGATCTTTACAGCACTTTTATCCTTATGTAATAACATAATTGCTACCCAGGAAAGCAAGCAATTCTAAGATCTTGGGCTAGACTGATTTTCCTTAACTGAGCTACAGTTTGTTAAAAGTTTCCTTTTACAGAGTTCTTTGATCTCCATTATCACTCAAAACAACCAATGAGACATGGCTACTTCCTTTGTCTCTGTTTGTTTCATGTGATGAATTCTTACCAAGTTAAATCTAAAAAATATTCAGACTTGAAAAAAAAAACAAACAAAAACTTTTTTTTGTGCTAGTGAAATTTTGTCCATTCCTCAGTTTCTGGCATTAATATACTAATCTGTAAATGTCTTCAGTTTTTATCAAACCAGTTAATGGAATTTTCTTTGAAAATGTTACTCTTCTGTTAAGAATAACAGACAAAATGTTGGACATTGCATTACAGAAAAGACTATCAGAAGCATTCAGAGAAACCATGCCAGTGTAATAAAGCCACTCATTCGTATTTATGTATCTGTTTTGTGAGTACTTCTACGCGTTCTTTCGTTCCGGCTGCAATATCCTTCTCTTCTTGCACTAGCTCTGTTGCTTTCTTAGTTATCAGAGGACCATTTGCACCTCTCACTTCTGCAATAATTTTGCCATTCTGTAAAAGAGAAAATTACACAGTTATTTTTGGAACAGCTTTTATCTTGCCTTTTTTTTTCCAGCAATGGGACCTTCCTTCTCTACCTAATTTTCCATGTTTATTTCTAAGCTCACCATTAATATTACAGTCAGAAGTAAACACAGAGATGGACTTTACTAGTTTATAATTTATATAACATATAAACATATAACATATATAACACAGTGCGTTCTATCTTTTTATTTTTGTTACGTTTCAGTGTGTGCTCTACCACATCCAGGAACACCACAGTGAAGCTAACTACTGGTGATCAGAGATACCATTGACTTCACTTGGCAACATTTGGATGCAAACACAAAAGTGTCCTGAAAATATAATTGTTCTTGGTCCTTAGTTGAGGGAATTAAATTCCTAGAAACCTCAAGTCAAGAACCCCACAGTTTTGTGTGTATATTCTGTAATGGAGTCCCAGGAGAATAATCTTTCTGTAATCATCAGTGAGAAATAATACATGTATAACTAATTGTTATGATTGCTCAGTGTGAAAATGCAATCTTACCTGCTTATTTTAAAAACCTTAAAGTGGCAGGAAATTTAAACTTTCTTTTTTTTTTTTTTTTTTTTTTTCTTTTTTTTTCTTTTTCCCCTGAAGGTAAGTGTATGTAAAATCTCAGTGTAGCCACAACTAGGAACTTTAAGTGAGGCAATCCTGGAAAACTTACGTGGATTCATTACTAAGAAACCATCTAAAGCAGGGCTACCACAAATCTTCTGTGGCTTTATGTGCAGCAGCCACAAGAAAAATGTGCTTGAGAAATATGGATTTAGGCATGGGAAACAGCCTCAAGTAAACAATATTTGATTATATGAACCTACATGATTTATATAGCTTCATATTTCTTTTTTAATCTACTGAAAAAATTAAGGTACAAGTAGGTAACGCATGAAAAGAAAGGGATGTGATGTACTTACAACACAAAAAAGAAACACGGGTTCACAACTATTCCTAAATGGTTGCAGAACTGGAACGCTGTCAGCCTCTGCCTGAAGTCAGACGAAAAAGATCATTTACTTATCTAAGTGTGTGTATGTATGCATATATACACACAAATATAAATATATTATTTTATATATACATTTTTATCTGCATGAAAACTGCAGTCCTATATATTTTGGTGTCACACACTCAAACTGCAGTGTTAAATACAACTAGCAATCTTTATGGCACTTGCTGGTGATGAAGAAAGAACTTGTTTGGTGACATGGGATTGGCCTCCCTTTGTATTATGGAATAATGGAAAAAATAACTATCTTATCCTAATACTGTTTTTCTTGCGGGTTTTAATAACATACATAAATGAGGAAGTAATCCACTGTATGTAGTTCTTTGTGACATGTGGTCAATGCTTTAAAAACACTTAAAATAAACTCTGAACTTAACTGCCTGCTTTTCTGTGTGTATAAACAACACACATATTTTCTGCAAAAATGCTTTGATCAAGCAACTGGAAGTTTTCAGTAACATGAAAAAGGATGAGCTTGGCCAACATCTGGGAGTAACAGAATATGTGAAACACATGTATCTACTTTAAATATGTTACATACCTCCTATTTTATACTGCTAGTGTAGAGGAATACTTTTACTACTACAGTTTAGTGATAATTAATCTATATTTCAATTCCCTTTTCTCTTAAAATGAAGTACAAGGGAATGTTTGGCAAAAAGGTGCAACAGCATTTTTCAGGAATGTAAGAAATGTAAATGTGATAATCCATAATGTAGAGACTGGAAACTAAAAATCATAGAGTCTGGCTTTCTAATGTTTCTGCCATCTCATCAAAGAAAACAAAAGTTGTGGGGTATGAGCTCCCATGCTATTATAGCTCCTTCCATATGTATTATCATTTCTGATCTGCCTCTAAACAAAGTCCTATGAGGAGATGTGCAGAAGAAGTGGCAACCAAACCAAAATGATGATGACTCAGTATAAGGACAGCAAAACGAAGGCTCTGTATATGCAGAGAGATAAAAAGATAGATTTAAAATAAAATATAAATAAAGTTCCACAGAGAAGTTACATCCTTACCACTGAAAAATGCAACATATCTTCTTCCCCCAGCTCAGTCCTCAGTTTTCTGAATAAATTCATCACAGCTTTGCAAGGACCACACCAAGCTTGATAGACATCTATTACTACAATGTAATAGTTTGGAATTACACACAGCTGACTTGTGGAACGTATTTATGAGTGTGCTGAAACAGTACTGGGAAGGCATCCACATGCATCTTTCAGTCCTCTTCTAGTCAATGAATGCATCATAAATACATCGATGTATTCAGTGGATACACCACGGTTTCCTTTTGTATCTCAAATATTTTTGACATCAACAATCTACTTCACAATGTTATTTAACATGATTAATCCAAAGAGCTGCATTTCTCTCATATTCCTTTTGATTTTAATTGCTCTTTTTCTTTTTGCACTGTTGGTTTTCATTCTTATCTAGATCTTTATTTATCAGGATTTTTACCTCCCTGAATTCACGTAGGTGATTTCTTTCTCATCACTACTTTTAGGGAAAAACTTCCACAGAAGCATCTAGCCCCCTAGCATATGAAATTCCATATTGGAAAAGTATTTTCTAAACATCAGTGTGTAACAGTGGATAAAATAATGGATAATATTATTTGTGACAAGTATTTGCTTATCATAGAGGAAAGTGTATATACCTAAACAAGACATATGCATTTATAAATACATTAATATAACTTTTCTTTAAAATATAACATTGCAGTAGTCTTCTAGATTTATGGCAAGGATCTATTAGAGATGATATGCAATGCAAGTGTGAAAAACATTGTCTTCATGGGACATAAAACAGAAAATAGTAGCAGTTAGTACCTGTTACACCTTTTTTCAGCAACATTTCATTCCACTGGTTTTCATCGTTAATTGTGGTCTGAAATAAAATGAATTGTCATTTCAGCACCTTGGAAAAGCAGAAAAATATCTGTTCAAACTAGAATTGTTCAAGTGATAAGTATTTATACCTGGAGCTGGACTTCTTTCTTCTTGCTTGCCATTTCCCTGTGATTACAAGAAACATTTCAAAACACGAAGCACATTAGTTTTTTTAAAATAACTTGTTACATGCAGAATTGATTCCTATGTTTTTCAACACAGCACTGCCTTCCAATTCACTTAAAAATTAACTCAATGGAAGCCCCTACAACAATAGCAGGTAACACCTCACTTCTGCATTCTGTAGAGCAATATACAACTTAACTGCAAAACCCGCATAGCACAGGAAACAGAATAAAATTTAGTTTCTTCATCAGTTAGGGTCTTCAATTTTTTTTTGGTCTCAACAATTTTTCAAGCTTAAAATTAATCTGTTCAGAATAGGAATCTTGGCTGAGATGACAGTTGATCTAACAGAGTAACATTCTGAAAAGTATTGATTAAACAGCTTCAACTCTAATAACATTAAATAAGCCTTTCTGTCTTCTGGGGTACATGAAAAGCAATACTCCCAAACTGAATCCTCATGCATTCATCATTCTGCCATTAATAAAAAATGTCCTTAATATACATTTTTTAATTTCTCTCTCCTTTTTATTTTTTTTTTAATAGATAATTAGCTACGAACTGGGCAGGAAAATTAGTTAAGTTACATATGTGGATGAAGTCTGACTTCAGTTTCCAAATGGAGCTTGGCTGAACAAAAAATGTTATCACTTCATCAGCATCTTGTGTGGAGGGTTCTGAAGTTCTTGGTTAAGATGGTAGCCTTTGTGTTGGGGAAAATGAAAGTGCCACCATGAATCCTTCACTGATACTGGTATATGACTAGTCAACCAGTGAATACATCCAGAGTTTGAACTATCCTGGCATTCCCACTGGAGCTGCTCCCTTCAGATAATAGATTGAAGCACAGTGGCCAATGTGAGCTCTCTTGCCCTGATGCTTGTTCCATACTTCGTCTGAAATGATCATTAAGGAATAACATTTTACGTGCAGGCTTTTTTCAAATAATTTGAACCAGACCGTAAGACAGAGTTATTACTATGGCATTAATTTCAGTCCTTTAAAACTCTGAGGAGCTGATGCTAGCTATTGAAACTATAGGAAACCAAGAGATGAAAATATGTCGTATTAGTAGAAAATCTTCACAAAAAGAGCACATCTTTCATTGTTACCTGCTGTCACTGAGCAATAGCAATCAATGCATTGCAAGAGTAGATCTACAAAACATATAACGTGCATGACAATGGGTTATACGTTCCAATCATCCTCCACATGCTCCCCAAATAAAAATGTGCGCTCACTTGTTCTCAGATGGCAAACAAAAGCACTGCAGAAAAGACACATGCTACTGTATGCAAATATACATGCTAATCTGGCATAGTAGGTGGAGGAGACAGACACGTGAAGATACATGTGACATCAATACTTTTAAATAAAATGTTTGCATAACACATTCTCTCAGTGATGCAGTCAGTATTATACTGATAAAACACAGAGAAACACATTTTCTCCAGTATCTGTGATACAGACAACATGCTTCTCTAACCTTGATACAGAGCATTTTGGTACCCACAGTTCAGCAAATATGTGCATGTGGAAATGCAGCACCTCTTATCACACATTTGTAATGAAAACTGCTTCCTCAGACAATCCACATATAAAAATAGACAGGGGTGCATGCTCAGGTACACTGTCAAAGCGACATTCTAATAGACTCATACTTCGCAGACAGACATTCTGTATCTTAACACAAACCTTCACGCACATAGATACATGAAAATATCCAAGCACTTGTGAGATTTTTGACACGGACCCATGTGTGGGTACATACACACAGATGCACCCTTCCCTGTGCATAAGCACCTGTGCATGAGAGCAGGTCCCTAACCTGGCGGATCATCTGCTCCCTGCCCTCGAATTCTATGAAACTGGACATAACACAGCAAACCACGGAGGGAAAACACCCCTTGGGGTGCAGCACACTTCAGCCCGCACGCACACGCACACCCACGTGCTTCCACGAGTGCACGCAGACACTCGCCCTAGGCAGGCTCCCCCAGCCAGAGCGCTCGGGTGCTTGTGCACCCCCTGACTCCACACACCTGCCCCTGGAGACACGAGCACGCCCTCACACACCACCCCGAGACAAGGGCACACCTGAGAGCACCCTGGGAAATCCCAGCCCTGCCCCACACCCACCCGCACACCTGCCCCTACCCCGGACCAGCCGCTGAGCAGAGAAGGCCCCTCAGCGGCCCACCCGCCGCCCCAACAGCCCTAACGGCCGCCCCAGAGCCCCCCGCGCTGCTCGGGCTCCAAGGGCTCTTTTCCCCCCGTCAGGATCTCTCTTCCTCTCATCTGGGGCTGACACAGCATGGGGAGCCAAGGAGAGGGGAACGGGGAGGGAGTTTTGGGCACCGTTTCTCCTCTGTGTCTCTCCCCACTAAGCAGAACCCAACCGCGCGGCCTTTAGAACGTGGGGCAACTCATCTTGGGGCTGGACGAGCATCACCCCTTCGCTCTGTGTGACTTGCAAATTGTGAGACAACGGGGACTGAAAAGGACATTGTATTTGTGAATGTTGTGGCGACCAAACGAGAGTCTTGAAGGCCAAATAACTGGCTGCTCATGGCTGCCTGCTCTGAGGGCGGGCCTGCTGCTGCACTGCTTCCATGTGCTGTTTTTCAGGGGTAAGCTTGCATCTCAGCAGCCCCAAAATCCACAGGAAATAAAGCCAAAGTCACTTATACAGGTAACAAGCACAATTGGTCTGCAGTACTGTGTGTCTATTTTCATGTAGAGACAATACCCTTAGAGGCATCCCAGCGGGTGAGAATGTCTTCATGGACATACAGGCTTCAAGGGTGATCACAGATTGTATGCAGATGTCTTAAAAATGTTCTCATTTTAAAAATGTGTGTTGTTTCTGGTTTATAAATTGTCCATGCTTCTGATTTATTTCTGAAGCCCTGTCCAGGCATATTAAGTGCTGCAATGTGTATCTACTGCATCTTAAGAAAATGTACTTTCAGTTACTTTCTTGTCACTTTTCTTAAGCTTTCTGGGACTGCTCACTAAAACATGACTTGCAAAGTGCCTGCTGAAGTGTTAATTTTATTTCCTGGAACTAAAATAGAGAAAAAAGTAGGGTAACAGCACTTAAAGGAGTTAAAATAGATGTTCTTTCTCACTGTTAAATCATCCCAAGTTGACAGATGTTAATTCTCCAGCAGTGTGAATGAGGCAACATTTCCAGAGAGCTGCAGAACGTTTTGATGCTAAGATTGTGCTATGTCCTAACAGGTTGGATTAGATGGATTAGGTGGCAAGGAATACTTCTTTTTCAGATAAGAAATAATGCATTTATATAGCCAACACTAAATCAATTTCTGCAGTTTTTTTTAATACAAAACTCTAGTTCTGGAACTAGCATAAACTCTGCATTGTCCTACATGCAAGTGGGGGAGTGCTCTTGAATAATCTTTCTTTTCCTGCATGAAGTAGGAAGACAACTTTTGAAATCTTAAAAGGCTTACAAAATTAGAAAGAACTACAAAAGATGAGATATTTAACCCACCTGCCATTCAACCAACCATAGCTTTCAACCACAACATTTCCAACCAACCGTATACCCCAGTCCTTAGAAGACTGTTGGCTAGAAATGGTGAATGCTACTGTCACCTTCAGAAACGTTTTAATTATTAGACCCTCTTTCAGATGCCACTTTAACATTCAAGGCTTTATGGTGGTTCAACTTGTTTAATGATAGATGCTCAGTCCTGGCTGCATACAGAGGTACTGCACAAGCCAGCACTAACCACGCTTTTACCTGGCATAGACCACACCAGGTTTTACTAAGGGTTTTGAGTATGTGACAGAAGCATGAGATAAACCACAACTGATCATTTCTGTCATACATTCCTAAGGACGGGGAAAGGAAATCTGGTGTTTTGTCACATAGTGAGTGACCTTACGTCAAACAGGGTGGTCACTGGGAGAGAGAGTAATAGTTGTAAACTTGTTAGCAGAAACAGGATGTTTTTATGCGGCTAGTGGTGTATTTTTATCTGTAGATGAAGGCTTCTGCTGTAAAAGGGTTATGTAGAGTAAGTCCATGGCTGGATGACTCATCATCCTCTTTGTAAGCTGCAGCTTGGGTTTCTCCAAGGTGTTCCAATATAGCATGTGCTAGAGGATCAAAAATCATCTCTGAATCATCTCAAACCCAGATTTGCCTCTGTTGTAGTGGTTTCCTTCCTATGTTTCAGCTGCACAAAGTGCATGTATACATTTCATGTGCACAGGAAGTGGTCTGGGCTACGAAGATGACTATTGCACACAGCCCAAGTGCCAAACACCCTACCAGTCCCACAGACTCATCAGAGAGGTTGAAGAAGTAGTAAGTTTATTTCCACAGAACTGGTCATGAATGCATAAACAGATAGAACATGTGCATGGGCCATCAAGATGATCTGAGCACTTCTCCTAAGACAGGCTAAGGGTTGTTGAGCCTGTAGAAAAGAAGGCTCTGGGGAGACCTCATAACTGTGTTCCAGTATGTGAAGGGGGCCTGCAGGAAAGCTGGGGAGGAACTTTTTACCAGGGCTTGTAGTGAGAGGCCAGGTTGGATGGGGCTCTGAGCAACTTGGTCTAGTGGGAGGTGTCCCTGCGCATGGCAGGGGTTTGGAACTAGATGACCTTTAAGGTCCTTTCCAACTCAAACCATTCTATGATGTTTCTATTATATATAAAGTCACTGTGTTGGTCTGCAGCAGCTCTTCAGGACTGAGGCCTGAATCAGGAGGAGGGCATCCCAAGCATGCAGTCTCCGGTTCCCCTTTCAGATGTGTGTCTTTCTTCAGAAGCATCATGCCAACCTCCAAGAATGATCCAAGTGACACGATCTTCTCTCACATGCTGACATCCTGTTCAGGCCATCCTGTTCAGCAACAGCATCTGGCCTGACGTTTCCTCTGAAATAGGAAAAAGAGGTTGTCGTGGTTTGGGCCTAACGCAACAGAAGGAACAGCCGCATGGCTGCTTGCTCAGGTCCCCC